TGATGTAATATGTAAGCTGTCTTCAGACAGCCCACCCGTTTGAACTAATAAAGTGCCAGGGGCCTAAGTGGTCACCTCAATATTAAAAAAAAAAAAAAAGTTAATCAATAAATATCGATGATTTTTAATTGATATATATTGATAAACTGCTATATATCGATATATATCTGCTTAAAAATTTTGCTGATAATAGTAGCCGACTAAGGTAATTTAAAATTATTAGTTAATAAATATTATATTATACCACAAAATTAATCCGTAATAAATAAATTAATAAAAAGCATTAAGTAATAGTAAAATTAAAGAACTTGAATGACTTAAATAAATAAGTGTTTATACTTATCTATTGAACAACCACGAATAGCATATTAAACAAAACTAAGGTTTTTTCTAATATTGAAATCCTATGATCATATGACTAAATAAAATTATTGAAATGAACTAACATTAAATGCATATATATATATATATTTACTGCTATAAGTTTGACCGCCATACAAGCTGATCATAACATCTCTGCTTCAATAAGAACGACAATCTAACAAAATTAACACCAAAAATCATTCTTATATTATCACTTATTGTTATAAATTTAAATATGCAAAACGAAAAAGCTAACGAAAATAAAGAAAATTTGATACTTAGCTTAGAGACGCGCTGGGCTAATGACTGGAGCCAAAAACGCAAAAAATTAGCCTCAGAAACCAATGAAGAACATGAGGCACGCCTTGCTCACAGGCGTGAAACATATAGACAAAAAAAAGTAAATAAAACTGAAGAGCAAAGAGCCAATGCAATAAATAAAAACACATCAAATAAACGAAGAATACATGCCTTAACAAATTCTTCAGAAGTAGCAGAAAATTCAGAAAATATTTCGAGCCATGATTATAAGCTTCTCTTGGATTTTCGCGATGCAATCAATGATCTTAGAAATAAACTTTGCTCTGTGTGTAATGAATGATTTCCATCAATTGAACTCTATGGAGAAGAATGCCGTTGTTGTTATTATGAAAAAAGTAATCTTAAAAAATTCTTAGTAGAGAACAATATGGATCCTGGTAATAATATTTAACTACTTATTGATATAATCTTAGCATACTTACCTTTTTTTAGGTGATGTTCCACCACAACTTCAGGGTTTAACTGATACTGAAGAAATGTTGATTGCACAAGTGTTTCCTGTCATATCAGTATATACTCTTCGCGGAGGGCAATATGCATATCAAGGAAATGTTATAAATTTTCTGCAAGACGTGCAGGAATTCGTGACCCGCTTACCACGTAACCCATCATCACTGAATACACTTGTTGTTAGACGCCATTCAACTAATAGATCTACCTTTCGTGACTTTTATGTTCGACGAAAAAAAATAACTCAAGCACTCTATTGGTTAAAGGCCAATAATGTGTTCTACAAAGATATTGACATCGATAATGGCACATTGCAATCCTTACCAGAAAATGGATCGATTATTGACCAGCTTTCACAACTATTGGATGATGAAACTAATCATGAAGAATCAAGTGAAGAAAATATAAATTCATATGAAGTCAACAACGAAACAATTGAAAATGGCTTTAGTTCACAGACCTTTGTGCCTTCTATGCCACCTGGGCGTAGTGAGGATGATGCAATAAATGAAGCACTCAACCGAATGCAACAAAACAATTCAACAGGTAAAAATTTATTAGTTGATTGGCCACATATCGAAGCTTCACCCATCGATGAATTTCGTACTCCCGGGTATATGGCACGAGCATTCCTAACACTTTTTCCTCAAGGTATTGCGGACCTTTGCAGCCACAGAGTCAAAGAAGTAAAGCCAGCAGAATGTTTCAAGCATCTGCTGCTTTATAAAGATGGTCGATTTGCTCGTCATCCACAATGGCATTATTTTGCGTTAAATACACTAATGAGATGGAGAACATTATCAGAGGGCTGGGTATTTGTTCGACAAAATTTAGAAGAAGAGCGATTAACTGCAGCTGAGGTCCTGGACTTAATGCAAAACGATCCTACCATGGCAAACTGTGTGGTGCAATATGGTGAAGATCTATGCGGTACCCGGCAGTATTGGATACGTCGTAGTGCTGAATTAACGAATATGATAAAACAGCTGGAGCATCAGGGAATGATCTTTTTACATTTAGTGCAGCTGATTTGTATTGGCCTGATCTGCATAAACTCATGCCCAGTGGAGAAAATTCCGTAGAGGGAGAGACTAATCAAGAAGCTTCAAAACGCAGACACAAAGATCTTATAGACAATCCTCACATTGCTGCATGGTATTTTGAAAAGCGGTTTAAAATTTTCTTTGAAAAGGTCTTAATACCAAAATGGGGATTAGTAAATTGGTGGTACCGTTTTGAATGGCAACACCGTGGTAGCATGCACATGCATGAAATTGCAAAACAGAAGGAAGCACCTAAAATTGAATGGGAGGAAATAAGCAATAATCAAGAAAAAATGGAGGAAGTGGTGCGCTACTTAGACTCGTTAGTAACAACAATAAATCCTGATCAGCATGCACCTCCACCAAGTCGCCACCTATGCCAGAAACCCATAGAAAATCTTGATGATAGCCTGCAAGATTATGTTGAATTAATAAACAAATTGCAACGACATACACATTGTAGCACTTCCTATTGCTTGCGAACCAATAAGCAAATGGGTTAACAGGCCTGCAGGTTTGGATTTCCCAAGGAATTGTGCAATCAAACGGTCGTACAACACAATAATAGTCGTCTAGAACTGATTATAGCTAGAAATGATCCTCTCATAAATCCTCACAATCGTATTCAACTCCAAGGGTAGCGAGCAAATGTCGATCTGAAACCCGTCCTCACACTTCATGCAGTTTTGAAATATGTATCTAAGTATGCTAGCAAGACAGAGCCACGATCTCTGGCTTTCTTAGAGGTATTAAATAAAGCCCTTTATGATAATATACCCGATGATCCTGCTTTAAAGACATTTCAGAAACTTCTCCTTCACACAGTGGCAGAATGGGATTACTCCGCCCAAGAGACTTGTCATCATCATCTTCAAATACCACTATACCATTGCAGCAGAAATTTTGTTACTTTAAATCTCAACAAAGAGGCGAATCGTTTGCTTCATGATAGTGATGAACATGAAGATGGAAGAACAGGTCTCTCATGTCTTCAACGATATTGGAGTAGGCCTGCTGAATATAAAGATCTTTCACTCTTCAAACTGTACCTACAATACAAAATCGTAAAAGAAAACTGGGTAAAATATAAAAAGAAAATATTATACGTATTTGGCCCCGTCCATCTCCAATGATAAATGGTCACCAATGGGAAGATTTCTGTCGTGTGAAAGTTCTTTTACATGTGTGCCATAAAGATTTCTCACAACTCACTGACAACGGAAATCTTTTATGGATAGATTTATATAACCGTCATCTTCCAGAAATAAATTCAGCACCCTCTGATTTAATTGGACTTGCAGTAGAGAATATTGAAGCTTACAATGAAGATTCTGAATCTGAAAATGAAGACCAAAATAGTATGCAAGATCAAAATAGTAATTAGGTAAATGAACCTCGACCTGACTGGATGATACTTTCAGAGATGATTCCATCTTCAACATTAATTCACTCAAATCTTGGAACTCGCAACGAAGACATAAGTTACGATTGGGAAGGTGAAAGTCAACTACGATATCCTGAATTAGAGAATGTCGAAAATTTTATTCAGCAGGCAATTCACGATAATGCTATTACTCCTGAAATTGAAAATGATGCAGAAATTGATCAGAGTACGCTAAATGAAAAACAAAAAATTATATTCAAACGTATAGAATCTCATTATGCCGCTGTAGTTTCTGGTCAATATGTAGAGCCACTTAAAACCATCATTATGGGTACTGCTGGGACTAGAAAATCTCACCTCATCAAGATTATCCGAAGAATGATATATAAGATAGCAAGAAATAATAACCTATTGCAAGAACAAAGTCTGCCTCTACTTGTACTTGCACCAACGGGTGTTGCAGCCTTTAATATTCAAGGCAGTATCATTCATTCAACACTCTTGGTTCCGATAACTTCTAATAATTTTGACCTTACAGGTAATGGACTTAAAAAGCTCCAAAATAAGCTACAGGGAGTAAAATATATTATTATAGATAAAATGAGTATGGTAGGACGTCGTCTACTAGCTTTAATTGATCTACGATTACGTCAAGCATTTCCAGATTACAGTAATCTACCTTTCGGTGGGCACTCAATACTTCTTGTTGGCGATTTTGGACAGCTTCCTCCAGTAGGTGACCTTCCAATGTACGCTAAAGACACTCGTCTATCAGATCCTTTATCTGAAGATGGACACAATACTTATAGTTAATTTCAGGAGACATATAGGCTTGAGGTTGTACAATGACAGGCTGGTAATTCAGACAAACAACGCAAATTTAGGGACCTTTTATTGCATCTGCGTGATGGGAAATCTATTCAATCAGATTGGAAACTTTTAATGTCACGAATTCCGGAAAATCTGTCTAAATTAGAGCAAAATCAATTCTTAGATTCCATTAGTATTTTCTCAACATGGAATGAAGTTGATACAGTTAACTTAGCTAAGCTTTGTTCATTAAATCAGCCTGTGGTTAAAATTTGTGCAGTTCATACAGGTGGTTCTGAAGCTTCGAAGGCTGATTCAAATGCCGCCAGAGGTCTTGATCCAGTTTTATTACTAGCTAAGAAAGCACGCGTTATGCTTAATGCAAATTTGTGGGTATCTGCTGGACTTGTAAATGGTGCAATGGGAACAGTGATTGATATTCTTTTCAAAGATCGACAGAGTAACACTTCTTTGCCCACTGCTGTTTTGGTTTCTTTCTACGAGTATCGTGGCCCCTCTATAACAACACCAGAAAGAACACAGGCTATACCAATTATTCCAGTTTTGCGTACTTGGGAGGGTAAGACTGGAATATGCTCCCGGTTGCAGATTCCACTCTCACTTTCTTGGGCTATTACAGTACATAAATCACAAGGTCTAACATTACCGAGGGCTACTGTGGATCTTGGAAAGAAGGAATTTGCAGCTGGACTGTCTTTTGTGGCCATATCACGTGTTCGTTTTCTTAATGATATTCTCTTGAATCCTTTCACATTCAAGAGACTACAGAAAATAAAAAAGTGCAAAAGATTACAAGAAAAAAAAAGAGAGGAAGAACAATTAGTCAGAAGGGAAAATGCAACAGCTTAAAAAAGTATATTTAGGATACAAAATAAAAGGATATATAATCTGCAAATCCGATTTTAAGATCACAGTATAATGTAACACAATCATAAAATTTCAAAACAAATGCTTATTTCTCAAAAATCTGCACAAAAAAACCATCTTTAGTGCTCTAACAAAGTTTTCCTTGAGCGATTTTACTACATAATTACCCAACCTCTAACCTTAGTCTAAATGCTAACGCTAAATACAACAAATTTTAAAAACCTGGAAATTTTGTATAGTATGTCAAAAACAATAACTAAAAAATATCAAATGATAGGGATTTATATGTATATATTATGATCAAGTGACGTATGCATGTATGATTGTTTTTATGGTTTTAAATGCCGATTGGCTCAATATCACGTGAGCAGAACCCAAGACATTTTGTGTATTTACGTCTCCATTATAAGTCCTCCGCTACGCTTTGGACAATAATTTTATTCATGCATTAGAAGAAAAAGATGGTAAATCATATTCTAATATATCTTGAAAAAAGTGATTCATACATTCTTCCCATATAGAAGTATTTCGAACTTGAGATATATTAATTATTTTTTTTTTATTGCAAAGCAATAATCCTTTAAATCTTGATCTGTAGTTGTGCAGTTTACTTTAATATTTGATCTGTA